TGTGTCAACGTCAAAGCCCAGTCCTCCCTCCTTCCTCGAAATTCAGAAGTTCAACATTGTGGCCTTCCAAGCAACAAAAATCAATCTCCCACATTATTCTATGAACTAAATCACTGTATGTAATCCATTGTCCTATAGTCCCGGCCCGGGTTCATATCCAGGCAATGCAGACATTTTATTTGTAGAACGATCACGTCTGACAGTCTTTGAACAGCATTTTACCATTATATCATAAACGTGCAAAACTAGAATAAACATTGTATAGCCCTCATCAACTCACAGATCTTGCCATGGCTCTCAAGATCAGGTTTGGCAGCTCTCTTCCTCTCACTTGCACAGATATTCCCTCTCAATGTTGTGACACTGTCCAATCTAGATCCAGTCGAGGACTTCTGTATTCCAAGCGGAAGTTCTAGACAACCATGCACACCAAACCTCAAACCTATATAAGAAAAAAGATCAATTCTACTATCTAAATTTTAAACATGCATTGGCAACAAAAAAACAAACCTTGCGATTATGCTATGAACGAGCCAGGCTTTCACCAAGGCAACAATCTCAGAGATCACGTACATATCTACATAGAGAGATTTAATTTTAAAACGATTACGTATAGATCTAACAGCGTATAGACACCGTAACATGGATTAAAAGTCTAAGATACAGATGATAAAGTACATATATTAGTTTTCTGTGGCTTTAGTTCGTAGACTGTTTGCAAGTCTCAAAACGTGCAAATATTTCGACCCTCCAAGTTGCCACTGATTTAAAGCCTCTGAACATTGTAGCCTTCATCAACTATACAGATTTTGCTATGGCTTTCCAGATCAATCCGCTGTTGGCAGCTTTCTTCCTCTTCCTCTCACTTGCAAAGATCTTCCCTCTCAATGTTGTAACAGCGTCCGATCCAGATCCAGTCGAGGACATTTGCATTCCAAATGGACGTTCCAGTCTTTCCCAGGTATCTTCAAAGGACTTCTACTCTAGTGTGCTTCGAGACGGTGCTGTTGCCTCGAGCCCACCCAAGTCCTTCGTGTTCTCCCAAGCTATTGTGAGCACATTTCCGGGGCTCAACACAATGGGCTTTTCAGTGGCTCGGATCTATCTCGGGCCAGGAGGAGTGGTGAGAAGTCACGCTCATCCACGAGCAAGCGAGCTTGTTGATGTTGAAAAAGGTGTTATAGAGGTTGGATTTGTGGACTCAAGCAACAAGCTCTTTGCTCACAACTTGAAAGAGGCCGTCGTACCCAGAGGCATGCTTCACTATATCATGAATGTGGGAGCGACACAAGGTGTAGATTTGGGCTTTCTAAACAGCCAGAATCCTGCCTTCCAGATCCCGTCCTTTGCATTGTTTGGACCAAAGCTGCCGTATGAAGTCCTGGAAGCGTCCTTCATCCTCAACAGAACCACCATTGATGCGCTGCACGAAATTTATAAGGAATTCGTTTAGAAGCTTGATACATACAGACATATCTATCTATATGCTATTTATACTTCAAGCATGAGGGTTTCTAAGCGTTCATGTATTAAGCGACAAGATTCAATCTAATCTCTGTAGCAATAAATTGTTGAAGATTCTTCTTTATTTAATTTTTCCTTATAAGCTTATTTGTTATTTAAATGCTTTAAGAATTTTTATACATTTGTATCACCAGTTATTCTCAATAAACTATATATTCGGTGATACAAATAACAAATAAGCTTATCTAAGTTTGACTAAAAATACCAGCTTTTACGTGGCTCCAAATCACGACAGCAAATAAAATCACTCGTCAGTTAACTTCATGGCTATGCAAATGTAATGGCTTTCTCTATTCCTCTCATCCTTAAACGACTGCCACATTCTTGTGCTTGTGAGAGCTGCAGATCCCGAGGACTTTTGCATTCCACGGAACAATATTAGTGAAGGTTTCATGAAGTACAAGCCGTACTCAAAGGTATCTTCAAAAGACTTCCACTCGAGCTTGTTTCGCGCCAAGGTGGATATCTCACACAAGCCCAATGCGTTCGATTTCGCTCAAGCTATTGTCAGCACATTTCCGGCACTCAACACGATGGGATTGTCCGTGGCACAAAACTATCTCGGCCCCAAAGGAGTTGCGAGAGCTCACGCTCATCCTCGGGCAAGTGAGCTCATCTATGTGGAGAAGGGATTTGTGGAGGCCGGCTTTGTGGACACTAACAACGGGCTCTTTGCAAGGAATTTGACCGCGAGCGGTTTGTTTATAATTCCCCGTGGAGTTCTTCACTATTTGATCAACATTGGAGAAGATCACGCTATAGTTTTGGCCATTTTAAACAGAGAATCCTTCCTTCCAGATCCCATCCTTTTCTTTGTAGTTGAGTTAAAAGGTTTTGAAGGTGACTTTTAGTCTAGACAGGAGGACCATTGATAAGTTGCATAAGATTTATAAAAAGTTTGTTTAGCATGCAATGAATGACCTTCCAAAAGATGGCCAGCCATAGTATCTATGCCCTGTTGTTGTGGTGAGGAATCCCTTGCTCTGGAAGGGCCCTGTGTTGGTGTTGTTTGATCTTGCGCTCACAAGAATGTTATGGCTTGGAACATGTGGATTTAAGTGTAATTTTGCATTGGCTCTAAGAACCCTTGCATATTGACATTAGTCCTTTAATATCGTTAAATGATAGTTTATTGTGTGTATAAACACTTTTATTATCATGCCTTGTTCAGTCCTATTGGTTATTTATAAAAAGTGTCTATATTTCTTAGAATAATCACAAAAACTTTATGGAATAAAACTTGCAAATTTGGACAACTATAATATTCAAAATAATCTCTACATTTTGCAAATATAGGACAAAATAAATCTTATACAATCACGTGACAAGGCTAGGGTTTTGCTCCAGGTGGAACAAGATCACAAACCGTTGCCTTGAGATTGTGAAGAAATTTCTCCAGCATAAAAACCCAAGCCCTTTCAAGCTCTCATATAAAACCAAAGTTTCTGATCATATGTGATTTGAAAATCTTTGATTACTCTCTTACATGAAGTCCTGGATGTGACGACATGAATAAACTCTTCAGAGTAGAGAGCTCTCGTTTTGCCACAATTCTAAACAACATATGAATTAACTCCCTACAAGTTTACATCTAGCAGCAGGCAATTCTTTTGCAAATCGAGCGCCTCGTCTAGTCCTTTAGCCTCTATTTTGTGAATGGCGGCCACCACTTCGTTGCCCCCGGGATTTGGGGTCCTGGCGATGATGCGGCCACACGACAATAGGCTCAGGCGTTCGAGGGGAAGGAGGGTTTCATCGGCGGAGGACAAAGATGATCCGCCGATCATCTTTGTCAGGCAAGAGATTGGATAACGGCATTGTCCTTAAAATTTTCGTGCAGCCCATCAATGTGAGGCTGGGACTTCCATATCGGCAGCTTTGGTCCAAACTGTGATAAGGATGAGATCTGCAAGGCATGGCTGTTTGGAAAGCCCAAAACTACAACTTGCGTCTCTCCCACATTCATGATATAGTGGGTATGACAAATAGATCAGCCTCTTTCAAGTTGTTGTTCAAGTCCACAAATGGGCCGAGATTCTGAGCCCCATTAGTGGAAATGTGCTCACAATAGCTTGGGACAAAGCAAAGGACTTGGGTCCGTCACTTGAGTAGAAGTCCTTTGAAGATATCTGAGAGTATGGCTTGCAGAACGTCCACTTGGAATGCAAAAGTCCTTGACTGACGCTGTTATGTACAACATTGGGAAGATTTGTGCAAGTGAGAGGGAGAGGAAGAGAGCTGCTAAGAGCGGATTGATCTTGAGCCATGGCATCTGTAAGTTGATGAAGGCTAAATGCACTAAAACACAGCAAATTATAAATATATGTATTTTCGATTGTTCCATTGCCGGGATTCGAACCCGGGTCGCCTGGGTGAAAGCCAGGTATCCTGACCGGACTAGACGACAATGGATTACATTATACAGTAATTATATAGATCAGACCTGAAAAGCCCCGGGAGATCTCATCGCTCGTCGACACCGAAGCCTGCTGAGCTTGAAAGGGACTGACCCATGCTGGAGCTGACGACGAAGAAACCGGAGGAGCCGGAGCTGGAGCCAAACTTGAACCAGAGCCGGCAGGGATGATCCGAGAGAAGGATCTGATGGTGGCGGTGGCAGTGGTGGCGGGGGCTATGAAGAAACAGCAGCCGCCGCCTCTGAAAAACCCATGGACGAAACATTTTGGGTGATGGTGGAGTTACTGGTTAAGTTCTTGACAATTATTTACCAATGAATTGTTTCGTACACCCGTTTGTAAAAGCAGGCTTGGCGCTGCTCACACCGCCGCCGCTGCCACCACAGTAGCTTCTCGCAGCTCGTTCCGTGTGGTTAAACCCGTAGCTGTTGTATGGCTTATCACACCCAGTTTTACCTTGCCCGGATGTAGAGGCCTCGTCCCCCTCCGAGTCTTCGTCCGGAGCTGCCACGGGGATAACCAACACTAGTCTATCGTCTAGATGGGCTATTATCTCACGTGTTTCGAGGGAATCTACCACCTTTGTCAGCATTCTTGATGGGGCGAAGGTGATAACGGGAGGTTGTGGAGAGTGGATTTGGATCCAACATGGCGTTTGCCAATGCGCTGGTTAGCATGTATGGAAACGGTGGAAGAAGAAAGGTATGTGTTTGATGCCATACACACTTCCCATACATGCTAGCAAATGCGGTGGCGTCCGCGATGTCAGGGAGGGTTTCGATCGCATCCACTGCCGAAATATCTTCTCCTGGATGATCATACTCAGTGCCTATGCCGACAAGGTGCTGGGGCTGTTTCGCGAGATCCAGTCGAGTGGCATGGCAATCGACAATGCCTGGACGAGGAAATTGCTGAGGTATCAATCCATCCCTGGAAATCTCGCGCTGCACTTGCCTGGCGGCCGTCAGATCCCGGGTGCTGGCGCAGGATCGATGCGTGCCTGTCGACATTCCGATAAACCCTAAAAAAAAGAATATCCCAATTCTCAAATTTTCAATCTCATGCAAGACCTTGTAACTGAACTTGTGTCCACAAAGCCGACCTCCACAATCCCTTCTCTACATAGACGAGCTTGCTCGCCCGAGGATGACTGTGAGCTCTCACTCCCTTGGGATCGAGATAGTTTCGCACCCAGACAATCCCATGCTGACCATCGCTTGAGCAAAATCAGAGGTGTCCGACACCTTGGGCGCGGAATAAGCTCGAATGGTAGTATTTTGAAGATACCTCTGCACTTGGTGAAACCTTCATTGATGTTTTTTCATGGGATGCAAAAGTCCAGGACTGGATCGGGATCTGCAGCTCTCACAAGAATGTGGCAGTCGTTTGTTTGAGGTCGAGAGGAATAGAAAATTTTATTTCTTGTTACTCTGATTGCTGCCATAATTATAGAAACCTGAAGAATTGTAAATAGCTTTAGGTAGATCCAAACCAGAAATGACTAGTGACTATTGCTAAGCATTTCAAACTAAGTGGGGGGGCATGGTCACAATTTAGCTTATTCATTGACAATTTTCATCATTATATCTGTCACAAAATTCTTTTTGTTGAAGCATAATTACTTGTTCTCGCTGTAAATTTCACAACCATGTGAATTGCTCATTCAAGCCAGAGCGGGGACAATGTCCTGTCCGAAAAAGTGACTGTGGAAGATTTATGTGGGAGAAACAGCAAAGAGTTTCAAATGGTCTATAGAGGCACTAATAACTTACGGTCAGTACACCACTTGAGCTTTCACCCGGTTAACTCGATTCACTCGTTTGAGCTCACAACAATTGGAGGGTGAAAGGCTTCCTTGACGCTGCCCAAGTCCTCGCGGCCGCGATACAACTCAGCGTGGTGTGGTGGAACCAGGCAGTAGAGAACCGAAACCATCACAGTGGCAGAGTAAGGAGCAATCCACCATACCCAGTGACCATCTCGAGTGGAACTTGATCCCATCACGACTGCCGGGCCGAGACACCTCGCCGGATTCATCCCCGCTCCAGAGTATCCCACCACAAGTCCCCCAGACGCGAAAATCAGCAGTCCAGCAGCAGCGCCGATGAAAGATGGTGGCAGGATTGCTCCAAAAGCCCGTCCTTGGAATGGATCCAGTGCCAGGTTGGCGACGACGAACATGAGAACAAACGTGAACATGCTCTCGGCAACGAAGGCCGAGCCTATTGAAAGTCCTGATCCGGCCGAGTTTTGCATGACACAGCCGCCAAGCGCGAACTTAAGAGCGAGGTCGTCAGGGAGGACGAGCTTCGCACACAGGGAAGCGAAGATGGAGCCGACGCATTGAGCTCCCGTGTACATGACGAGCTTGGAGGGGGAGACATAGCCGAGAACCATGGCCAGGAAGGTGATACAAGGATTGAAGTGACCACCAGAGGAGGGAGCGGCGGAGAGGATGATGATGAAGACGAGGATGGAGTGGAGGATCGCGATGGAAGCCATGGGTGATCCGTTGCTGCTTTGCTGCGAGGAGCTGACGATGATGAGTATGCTGGAGAAGACGAAGGCTATGGTTGCGAGACATTCGACAAGACAGGATCGCCATGCCTGGAACAGTTTGGAGGATTTGAGTTGAAAAAGAAGAGAAAAAAGATTAAGTGATGGTTTGGAGCTCTTTTTACCTCGAGGGTGATAAAGTCTTGGAGCTGGAGGAACTTGAGGATTTGGAGGGAAGAAGCTTGTTTGTGATGGTGTTGAAAGTTTTGGTGCTCCAGCGTCTCCATTTCCAGCTGAGGTGTTTGAAGTTAAATCCATATAACTGTGTGCAGTCATTGACGATCCAAACCTGGGGGAAAGATCGATGCTTGTTTCTTGTTTCAGCTTCAACAGTGGTCAAAAGGGTAAACAAGGAAAGTCAATTGAAAATTGACCGAGACAGACAATTCTTTTTGTGAAAAGGGTTGTGTGTCCCAGGTGCATGTTTCTAGCGGAAGACGCTCCCTTTCGTGCTGGCATTCCACAAGACCAAGACGAGCTCCAAGGGAGAACGTCGACCTTTATGCAAAGAAGGGTGTGGTTTCGTGCTAGAAGACCGATGTTTTGGACTCGTTGTCGGCTGGATTTCTACCTCGCTGCTAAGCTTCTACGTGCCATGTGGAAGTTAGGATGTACTTCCAGGGGATAGCGGCAGCTACAGAGGCAGCAACAAGCAGTGTATCCACACTTAACCCGATCCCTAACAAGTCAGTCCCTATATCTTTCCTTGTTTCAATTCCATCTATAGTACATATGTTATAATGTTCATTAAGTTTTTATATAATCAAAGTTGAGTTGCCCAAATATTTAGCAGACACTATTTGAACCAATTGAATAATGCTCATCAAATATCACCTAGAATCAATAGTAATTTATAACAATTATAAACATACATGTACAAGTTGGACAACAATAGCATTAAACCTCTTGTCATAATGCCTCGAAAGCACTCAAGTCTCGGGATCAAGCTATGATCGAAGAAAAGGATACGGTCTCTTTGTTTAATAAATTATATCAAGTGTTGAGTTCAAACGAACTGATACTCTAGGAATTATCCATATGTAGCCATTTATATACAAATGAATAGAGATATTCCTTAGAAAACCCGGGACGATTTGAAAATTGGGATATTCTTTGTTTTAGGGTTTATCGATTTTTCCATGAATGTCCGGCGAGCGCGACGCCACCGCCATCGCGATCTCCTCGCACGCGTCGATCCTGCGGGACTGCGCCAGCACCCGAGATCTGACCGCCGCCAAGCAAGCGCAGTGGGAGATTGCCAGGGATGGATTCGGGGGCGACAGGTACCTCGGCAATCTTCTCGTCCAGGCCTACGGCAAATGCGGCAGCGTCCGCGACGCCAGAGAGGTTTTCGATCGCATCCAGCGCCGAAATATCTTCTCCTGGACGATCATGCTCGGCGCCTACGCCGACAATGGCCACGGCCGCGAGGCCCTGGGCCTGTTTCGCGAGATCCAGTCGCGCGGCATGGCGATCGACAATGTGACGCTCGTCAGTGCTCTCAAGGCGTGCGCCGTGGCCGGGGATCTGGAAGAGGGCCGCGGCATCCATGCCAGTGCGCGGTCTCTAGGGTATGAATCCGAGATCATCGTGGCCACCGCGCTGGTGAGCATGTATGGGAAGTGTGGGCATTTGGAGGAGGCCAAGGCGGTGTTTGCGACGCTGGTGGAGAGGAATCGCGTGTCCTGGAACGCGATGCTAGCAGCGTATGCCCAGAACGGGCATTGCGAGGAGGCTGTGAGGCTCTATCGTCTTATGTGCTTCGAGGGGATCAAGCCCGATGCTACCACCTTCGTCAGTGTTCTCGATGGCTGGAAGGGCGAAGGAGAACACGGGAGGAGAATCCACGACCAGGTTGTGGAGAGTGGATTTGGATCCAACACGACGCTTGCCAATGCTCTGGTTAGCATGTATGGAAGCGGTGGAAGGGTGGACGACGCAAGGTACGTCTTTGATGGTATAGCTGAGAAAACAGTGGTTTCCTGGAATGCCATGCTAACCGCGTATGCACAGAACGGGCGCTATGGCGAGGCCGTGGATTTGTTCTGGAAGATGGACGTTGCTCCAGACACTGTGAGCTTCGTCAATGTTCTTGGAGCTTGCATGGACATCGAAGAAGGAAGATTGGTCCACGAGCATATCAAAGCCAGTGGATTTCCGGTAGGCGTTCTCGTATCGACTAGCCTGGTTAACATGTATGGGAGGTTCTTGAGGCTGGAGGAGGCCAAGCAGTGTTTCGAGCAAGCTCGGGAGAGAGACAGAGTCTGCTGGAACTCCATGGTTGGAGCTTACGCACAGAACGGGTGTGGTTTGGAAGCGTTGCATCTCTACCAGGAAATGAGGCGAGCTCTGGTGGAACCGAACAGCGTCACTTTTGTGAATCTTCTTGTAGCCTGTGCTGCTACGGGGTTTTTAGAAGCGGGCAGGAAGATCCATGCCGAGGTTGCGAGCTTGGGGCTTCTATCGACTCTCTCAGTGGGAGGAGCTCTTATCAACATGTACAGCGAGTGCGGTGACTTGGATGGAGCAGTACAGGTTTTTAAGGAGATGCGTCAACTCGGAGTGATGCCTTGGGATGCCTTGATCGCGGCATTCGCTCACAACAAGTTCGTCAGAGAAGCTATCTATCTCTTCAGCAGAATGAGCCTCGAAGGTCAGAAGCCCAACGAGCTAACGATCGTCAGCATCCTTGATGCATGCTCCAGCGGCGGTGCTGTAAAACAAGGATCGGCATTCCATAGATGCATTGGCGTCAGCAGCTCCGGCTTGGACGTTTCTAATTCTCTTGTCAACATGTATGGTAAGGGAGGGAACTTGGTGCTTGCCAAAAGCGTTTTTGACAGCGTGCCTCATAAAAATCTCGTCTCCTGGAACGTTCTAATCGGTTCTTATGCAGGGGATGGAGATGGGAAGGAGGCCTTGGGAGTCCACCAAAAGATGGAACTGGAGGGACTGAAACCGGACAAGTTTACATTCATTTCGGTTCTCCATGCTTGCTCTGCGAGTGAGGCCTTGGCTGAAGGTAAGGCGATTCATGCTCTCATTGCAGCGTCGGGATTTGATTCCAGCTGCTTCGTTGCCACGACACTAATAAAAATGTATGGCTGCTGCAGGTGCATGGAAGAAGCAAAAGCTGTTTTTGATAGAGTCGCTTCCAAGGACATTGTTTTATGGACTGCTTTGCTCACGGCGTACTCTCGAAACGAGGATGCCAAAGGGGCGCTTCTTGTCTATCGGAACATGGACTTGGAGGGAATGGAGAAGAACCGGTTCACATTTTCCTCCATCGTCAGCGTCTGTGCAGATGCAGAAGCGCTTGCTGAAGGTCAGAAAGTTCATTTGCACACCGTTTCTGTGGGGTATGACAAGGATGTCATTGTAGGCACTACTCTGGTGGATTTTTACTCCAAATGCCACGACGTGGATACTGCAAGAAGCGTCTTTGATGGCATCGAAGGCAAGGACATCGTAACTTGGAACGTTATGATCACTGGATTTGTTAGAAACGGCCACGGACGAGAAGCAGTCCGGCTTTACCAAAAGATGGACCTTCCACCCGACAGCTTGACGATGGTAGGCGTTCTTGCGGCATGCTCCGGCCTGGGAGCTCTCGAAACAGGAGAAGTTTTGCTCGAGAGAAGCGGCTTGGAAAGAGACGAGGCTATCGGCACGGCACTGATAAACTTATACGGCAAGTGTGGGAGTCTGGAGCAGGCACGGAACGTCTTCCTCGACATGAAATCCAGGAGGAACCTTGTCACTTGGAACTCCATGCTGGCCGCGGCTTGCACGAAGGGTGGCTTGGAAGATTGTGTGGAGATCATCCACATGATGGGCTTGGAGGGGATCATGCCGGACGAGTTAACGTTTCTCAGCGTCCTCTTCGCGTGCAGTCACGGTGGGTCGATCCAACAGGGCCTGGATTTGTTTCTCTCGGCTGGGGTTGATTATGGGATTGCGACGAACACCAAGCACTACGTGTGCGTAGTAGACATCCTGGGACGAGTAGGCAGGCTGGAGGAGGCACAGGAGGTACTAAACAGGATGCCCTTCCAAGCCAACGACGTTGCATGGATGACTTTGCTGGGAGCTTGCCGGATACATCGTGATTTTGAGCAGGGGAGGCGTGCTGCCGATTATGTTATCGAGCTGGACCCGCAAAACGCTGCTCCGTATGCTTTGCTCTCCACCATGTTCTCGGCGGCAGGCAGGGGTCGAATGCCAGCAAAAGGATGAAAGCTAGGTCATCGGTAGGTTCTCGTTTTCGTTAGTGAGATTTTCCGCTGAGATTAATGCCATCACTCCCAAAAAGATGGTTCTTCTCTTTCATCAACTCCAAGCTGTGGGATCCATTGATGTTAACTTCATTGATTGCTAAGTAGTAACCAGTACTAGTTCTAGCATCTTCTAGTTTGGATCTGCCTAAGGCTGCCTATTATTTTCTTTGTTTTGTATAGTGAGCCCAAGCATTTGAGAATGTAAACAAGCTTTGTACCAAGGTGCACACTTCAAACAAGCCAAATGTGTTGATTTCAAAGAAACTTAGACTATTGATTATTTCCTTTTACTTTAAATTTACTTTGTTTTTAGATCTAGGGTTGTATTTAGATCTCTTCTTGTTCCTTGCAAATGCCACATCATTATTTTCAATATTTACTTATTTTTACAAGGAACATATTCAGATAATAATTGTGTAGTAAGGTGTGATTATAACAGTGCTACTCTTGTTATCCTTAAATATATAATTACAATGTTGCTCATATTTTTGGTCTCTTATTGCTATTGATGTGGAGCATAATTGTGATGTGGACACATTTCTAGCACTCAACACAATAGTATGAATCTTCAGTGTTCAGAAGGGATGTGGAGGCTGTTTTTCTTCGGAAGGGAAAATTTTTCACAAAACGTGCTACTTATTGATGGCTAAGCATGGAAAATTAAAAGATGCCCTTAATATATAAACAAAGGCCATAAACTCAGAAAGAGCTATGGATAATATAGTTCTTGCAAAACTGGTGTTTATGGGAAAATAAGATTGAGTGGATTTTTTTAATTGATAGTGAGTTAAATAGCTTTGGAGGTAGCTTTAGAGTTCCCTTCTTTAAGGACAATTATTTCTTATATAAGCATAAAGAATTTTCCTAGCACATTAATCACTTTAACTTTAATGATTCTCACTATTATTGGTAAGAATCTTAGTTATATTTATTTTGTGAAAAATCATTGATAATATATTTTTTGAGTGTTCTCTTATTTTAAGAGTCTTAGGTTGAATTTAATTTTCATGATTCTCTTGTTGCAAATGTTGTTAAAAGCCTTTCACTTATTGTAATTATTGTGGCCTTTTAAAGTTTTTGGAGCATAAATTTTCCTTTATTTATTAATTTTTGTTAAATAAGTTCTTCTTTAATATCAACTTTTTCTTCTTTCACCTTTTTTTTCTTCCATTTTTCTTGTTTTCTCCTTTTTTCCTTAATACTTCAAACTTTTTTTTCAAAAGAGGGGCTAAAGGGGACAGATGGGCCTTAGTGATGGAATAAAAATGAGCAATAATAATATTAGAGTAAGGATAAAAGTAAAGCAACTAAAGATTTGAATAATAGATTGTAGAATGGATAAATCAAAAGATATAAATTTGTTGAAAGGAATTAAAGAGACATTTTAAGTGTTTCTTTATATACTTAGTCACTATACAAGTACTTGTGCCTAAGTCATCTTAGACACTATGCTTAAGCTTTGAGCCTGTTGTAAGTAGAAACTATTGGAAAAAATTTTACTTTTCAGTCCCTTATGACAGTTCTAAGCCATATCCTCACAGTTACACTCCCCCTAGACCCACATTAGTGGTCCTTCATCTTGCTCTAGTCCTTTGTCTTCACCAGTATTTAAAAATGTAAATAAGCTTTATATGGAGATGCATACTTCAAATTAATCAAATGTGTTCGATTCAAAGAAGCTTAGCACTAGCACTTAACATAATGGTATGAATCTATTTCAATGTCCAAAAGAGATGTGTGAAGGTTGTTTTTCTTTCGAAAGGAAAAAAACTTCACAAAATGTGTTATTTATTAATGGCAAAGCATGGAAAATAAAAAAATGCCTTGTTTAGAATCAACCACCATGAACAAACTCACAATAATATATAAATAAGGTGTCAACCCATTACCAAATACTCACACTCCAGAACTATTGATTACTTCCTTTAAATTCAATTTTATTTTTACTGTTAGATTTAGTGTTGCAACTATTGTTATATTTAGATCTCTTCCTGTTCCTTGCAAATGCCACATTATTATTTTCAATCCCTACTGATTTTTACAAGGCAATGTTACTCTTATTGCTATATCACATTCAGATAATGATTATGTAGTGAGGTGTGATTATAATAGTGCTACTCTCAATTTTTTGTGTATTGTTATCCTTAAATACATAATTACAATGTTTCTCATATTTTTGGTGTCTTACTGCTATTGATGTGGAGCATAATTGTGGCAATTCTTGGAGAATGTTCAAGGATGGTGTTTATAGGAAAATAAGATTGAATGGATTTTTTTAATTGATAATGAGTTTACTAGCTTTGGAGATAACTTCAGAGTTCTCTTCTTTAAGTACAATCATTTCCTATATAAGTATTTTGGCTAAAGATATAAAAAATGATTGTCCTCACAGCTAGCTCATGTAGTAGGTAGCAGTTAGCTCATTCAATAACTAGAGTAGCTCTAGTATTTAGAGCAGGTTTTTCTACAAGATCTGTATCTTGTTAGGGGTATTTGCTCAGTGATTAAGGTTTTCCTGCTCTATTCTTTTTCTTTTCTTCACATCCTCCATGTCCTTCAGCTGACCTCGGCTGTTGTCAATGATCGGTTTCTCTCTGGCATGCCTCATCCAGCAAGATTATGAACAGTAACCAGGTGTGAACAAATCTCGGATCCAGCCTCAATATCTTCCCCTTGTCCCTTATCAAGGCCTCCATTTTCATGGTGGAGCAAGCTTGCTTGGAGTACATGAAGGAATTTTTGGTGAAAGTAATCAGAAAGTCTTATGCTTCTAGATAGACACCATAAGCTCTAAAATATACATACATACAACTCAGCAAAGACCTCTCTGTTCTTTTACGATGTCTACTTAAAATGCCTGAAAGAAAGCATTTTTGTCAGACTAAACTTGGATCTTGTAACTTACAGCATTGGAAAAATTCAGTCCAACAGCTGAAATGAGCAACTTGGTGGTGTTCTCATTCTCTTGACGTTGATTATGCAAGAGCAGTTGCTAGAGGACACCTTACGGACGGTTTACACAACACCTGGAGTCATGGAGCACCTTCTGGAAATGATCACCTGAAGAAACAGGCAGGAGAAAGAAGAAATCAGAAGGGCTGCCTTGGGAATTTTATGTCAGCTTGTAATCCCCAAGAGAAATAGTTTTGGGTGATGGCAATTGCTGGAGCACTGGAAGGTATTCTAAGTTTTCTTTTGGATGATGGAGATAGTGACAAAGAATTGGAGTTTGACAAAGCAAACTCAAGCTGCATAGGTTGAGATTGCTCAAGAGTTTGGCAAAGGATGACAAGAACTGTGTTTATATAGGAAATACTCAAGGTCTACACTCCATTCTTGTAGTAAACATAGGCATCAAAGGCAGAGAAAAAGGGGGTTGGGTAGTTTTTAAAGTTGAGCTTAAGTCAATGAAAGTCAATATAGTCCACCAAATATAAAAGTTGATGTTCAAATGATTAGTTTGGGACGAATTAACAATTCTATTCAAAACTTAAGACATATTTTCAGTCCAAGAAAAAGCTAAATAATATAAGTCTAATAAGAAAATAAATATCATAAGTACAAGAAAAAACTCTATAATACCACTAAAAAATTTGGCTAAAAAAAAAACTAAACTTAGTCTTCCTCAGCATCCATTCATATAGTATTATGCTCTATAACTGTGGGCTCTTGTTGTATATGAGTTTGTGCTATTGCTTTTGCATAACATTATAAATTATAGCCCATATCATCAATCCACCTAATATACACAACCATGATAGAATTAGTATAATGAAAAATTTATACTTTATTATCACTTGTATGAAATGTCCCAAGAACACTTTCAAATGCACTTTCCTTCTCCAGTGCAAAAACTACATAGCCAGTCTCTTTAGTTGTTAGCACTATCGAACCAAAACTTGCTATAGCATCAAGCACAATCCCCTTAGGAGGACAAAACAACTCTAGGAGGATTTGTATGGCCTTTGGTGAATGGTGTCAATAGCTAACAAACTCTATATGATGGTCCTGCGTGATTACTATCGGGATGATATCTATTGAGCTATCATATCTTAGTAATGCCAAACCTACACACTCATTAGCTCGTGTGATACTGTGGCAGCAAGAAAAGCGGCAGAGAGTATGCTAAATTCTACAATGAAAGAGGCAATCAATTTAAGATATGAAAAATAAGGAAATGCAAACTTTTTGGATTTAGCCACTTGCTCTTTTTGTTTTGACTGGGATATTTGAGAGTAGGCAGTCTAATGCAAACCTAACCAATCTAGAGTCATCATTCTCCGCCATTGTTGCAAGAAGACCTCCCCAAAATAAAGAACGGGGAAGAATGACTAATATAATGCCTTCATATCACAACACTTTGGATGCCACATCCACCGCTTGAGAAATATGGTCCGGTTGAAGGATGTTCCAGGATGGAGTGTCACCTTGTAAAGGTAATAACTTATTAGGCAAGTCAAAAAACACGAGGTCAATGCCAAAGGTATTGTTCATTCCCAATCCTTGCATCCATCTATAAAACATAAAAGACTCTTAGCTCATGTTGTTGGAAAGCTAAAAGTAGTCCCCAATAACTATTTCCACATTGCCAACACTTCTTATAGGAGAAAGAGGGTGAATTTGAATAGTGTTCAAAGCTAGGAAATATTAAAGTTAATACATGTTTTTTTTCATACCTGTTTATGTGAAGCCGATGAAGATAACTCTTGGAGGTCATCCTCTATAGCAGTGGGGAGGGATGGAAAGAATGCATTTGTTCATTGGTATATAGAGTGCTGGCTAGTTTCTCTAACATCTACAACCAAATTACAATAAGCAAAGTCATTGGATATCAAGTTCTTACTCTCTTGGATGTCTTCACTATGGAGCTGCCTTCGTACATTTTGAGTAGTCGGGGTTGGACCAGCAGTGGTAGTAGGATTTGGGGAGTGAGCGACTGTTGTAGGATAAGATGGGGCAAGAGAGTTTTCAATCAGGTTCTCCACTTGTTCTTCTTTGGTCTGCTCAATATGAATCTCATCCCTGTCTTGAGGCATCTCCACTCCCTCCAAAAGTGCCTTTATAATAAAGTAGAAATATAAGTTACTATTTACTCATCAAACTTAAATGACACTTGAGGTAGAGATCAAGCTCAAAAGGTGATGATGGCATTTGCTTCCATTACTCTAAGTACCATAGATAAAGTTCTCACTTATGTGTAGAGGGACAATGGAACTCTGGC